CCTTCGCAGGATATAAACGAAGAGAGCGAACGTCAGGCAACCCGCGACGTGGGCCGTTTGATGTCCTTCGAGGATTATTTTCGTTGAGATAATCTCCGAAAATTCTTCCCTGCTATGTTCCCGGTCTTCGCTAAAGAAAAGCTGATATGGTAGGGGGTGTAGGGACGGAATAGTCACGTGCGTTCATTTGCTTTGGTGTTGTGCAAAAAAGTAGCTGTCTTCAAAACGTGCCCAAAGACAAGCCGGATTTCGTACGATCGTCGTGAAGTGACTCATTGACGCATTATATGGGAGTTTCGTGTTATTTGAGATCTTTCCCAAATAAATCCTGTTCTGATAACGCAGCACCGAGAGGTGCGTACTATGTATGTGATTCTATTGATGAGACTCGTTCAATTTTAGGTTGTGAGCGGGGAATACCCATGCGTTTCGGCTCTCGCGTGTGGTCTAATATTTTTGACAGTTAAGACATTTGTAGAACGACACGGCAGAGTGTATGGTGTCGTAGGAAAATCAACGTAAAATAAAACAAACATTCCAATTGTGTCTGTTGTGTTCCTCACGAACTCACAAAAATAAATTTTATTTTAGTGTTTTTGTTCTCAAAATTAGTACAATGCTTCATTCAAAATCTCGAGAAATTTTATTCGCCATAGAGCAAAAAAGAAAAAATGATACGCGGCAATTTAGCCGCCACCAGCATCCGTTATTCCGCCAACGCAGGCTGCCACAGCCCACTGGCGAGAGAGCCCACAACCCAGGGCCGTCAGGCAACACTGGCGTACACTCTGAAAACCAGGGACGCGAGCTGCAAATTGCTGCGTTGGAGACTGCCGCTGAGAAGGTCTACAGGTAGATCTACAGGCTTTCTAACTGGCTTCTTTCCTCTCGCTCCAGCTCACTCTCCCCCTCTCCCCAACTAACTTCAATTCCCAATTCTCCTTGATTGTCTTGCTTTGAATGTTTATACGGCGCCTCAACGGGTGACCGTTGAGGCGCCCGTAGATGTGGCTGTAGATGAGAATGTAGCCAGTGCAGTAAGTCCGCTAACCTGGGTGTTTTAACGTGCATCACGCAGTAGTGATTATAAGAACGCGTGCCGGTACGAAACTCCTCCAGATCTAAAGGGCGGGGAGGTGGGGATCGAGCCCAGGAGGTTCCCATCGCAAGCTTTCGCTCCACGTTCCGAGTTAACACGCGTTAGCCCGCTCGGCCACTAATTCCCTTTTATTTCTCCTTTCTTCAACTGGCTCCCTTATTTTCCTTCCCCTCCCGCCTTTCTGGTCACGTGATGTTAATTCATTTTTCCCATTAAATTTAGCGAATAAATTTACGTCACTTGATGCGCGAACTTTATTTCTCATCTCGGTCTCCTTCGTTCTTTCTTTCTACCTGCCCTCATCCAAATACAGTGTCCTCTTACCCTCGCTCTCTCCTTCCTCTCCTTTCTCTCCATCGTCTCCCTCTCCATCCTCCCCCCCCCCCCTTCAAGTGGCCTCCCTCCCCATTCTCCTCTTTTCTCCCTTTAAGCTCCATAGTCACGTGGCACACCAATTTAGTTTTCTCAAAATTGGTAAAATATGTGTTCTTCACTCCCAAAACGCCCCTTTAATGTCTTGCAAACAAGTAAAACCATCGCTCATAAATACTGCATTCCCTGCACAGTTAAGTTTCCAAGTTAAAAAGCATGAAATGCTTTTAATGCTACTCCCCAATCCCAAAACTCCGTCCGTCCGTCCGTGCATTTCCCGCTACATTTAGCGAGAAAATTTGTCACGTGATTTATACACGAATTTAGTTTTCCCGCTGAATGTTGCAGGAAGTTTGATGTCACGTTACCTGATGTCATGGAACCTACAGACAAATTCAGCTCGAAAAATTCGGGGTGGTGTAGTTGGTTCATTAGTTAGTTAAAAAATGTAATGGATAACAATTACAAATTACCATACCTCGAAATCTAATGGCTTACCGTTGCAAATTACTGTCGCTGATTAGTAATGGATTACTTTACTCGTTACGTAACAAATTACTCTCACGCTACCTTGTCGCAGACTTATAAAGAAAACTATGCGAACAATATTGTTGTTCTCAAACATGTTCCGCAACACTATTTTCCATTTTTCAAAAGCAGGAAAAAAGAACCTACCATGAAAACCGATGAAAAGAGGCAGAGCCTACCGGATGTTGTCTTTCGGATCTGTTTTTCGCTTGCTAGTATATGCCTCGCACGTTTTTCTAGTGGCTCTATAATAACCGATCACACAAAAAATCGTGCTTTCTTTTCGATTATTCTCGTTTTCACGATGTTTTCTTTTTTGTGTGTGTGTTTTTGAACTTGCTATTTTGATACCGTTGAATTTCCTGCTCATATTGCTCCGGTTTCTGTTTTATGTTCATATTTTTAAAAGTAACGAGTAAATAGAGTAATCCGTTACCAATATTTGATAACAAAAATACAGCACAACTTACTGCCGCAAAAAAATAACGTCGCAATTGCAAAATTACTTGAAATAGTAACAGATTGAAAGTAATTCATTATTTGCAGCGGATTACTTCCCAAATTTGATTATGATTGGAAAACTTAAAAACGCAAAAAAAAAGACACCGACGAGAAAGAGACGCACATGTTTGGACTGGCGCTAACTTTTCACTGATTTACTTGAGGCAGTCAAACCATCACACATACGTAAACACTCTTGCGTATCTTGCAAACCCCTCGCGTCAACAGCTATCATATAAACACAAACAACACACGTCAATGCTTCCAACATTCGTATCAGTTAAACAGCGTGTCTACACAAAACCACCGAGAAAACAAACTTCCTTGCCATTTAGTAAACATGAAGGCGTCCTGACGCAGCCGTCACCTGAAGTTTTATCAACTACGCTTACTACCATATCCCGTTCAGTAATATTATTTGCTGTTTTAATAACTCTGGTTATTTCTAAACGAGGATTTCACCCGTAGCCCACGCAGTGTGCCGCAAGATAACCTCCCCCCCCCCCCCTCCGCGATTTGTTACGATCCGCTAGACGATGTTGGCGCGCCCATTTATTAAAACACGGCCTGCAGTCTGTCCGATGTACACTCGGCCGCATGTTAGCGGAATATCCTAACCACCTTTAGAAGCAGAAGCTGTGAACTGAGTGACGTATTTCTCCACGCACCTGTCTAGTCCTCATGGGACAAACTTTTGCCAGCTTGCATGGAACGAAGAAAAGAACAATGACATCGTACTTAATTGATTTTTTCTTAAGGTTGTGCACCACTTTGTGTAAGCAAGGTAGCACTATAACTTTTCATTTTTTAACTTCCTTTAGTTGACCGTTCCTCATGTTGCCTTCAATTTTTATCATATAAAAGAATCCTTTCACACAAGCTGGAAATCAAGAAGCCGGGGTAGTTCGCCCTGTCTAGGCGTTCTACCTGAACTTCAAATCTAGTCGTCATAGCGTGATTGCACCTTTTTATCAGAGCAACCTTGAAACAAGTGAGAGCAGTCCTTCTCTTTACCACCATAGAATGGGCGCTACCAAAATACAAAAGGCTCTGTCTTAAACGCGGTTTGTACAACCAGCACAAGTGATCATCATTAAACGTAAGCTGCAACTCTAAAAACTGAATTCACTTGTCCCTGGGAAGCTCTCAGATGAACATCAATCCATCCGACATGGTATCAAAGAATTTGACAACCTTGCAAGAACATTATTATATCATGTCCCCGAGTGATCATTCAAAATACCCAGAAAATCGTTCACATATCTAAAAATCCTAAGAACATGTATCTCATATTCAGGCCTTCCAATATGGGTAGTATAACATATCACAAAAAACGGTCTACCGAGGGACAGATTGAAATACCTCTATTTTCGCACATAAAACTCATCGTTAAAGTTAACGGCCGTCGACGGCAGATAAAATTTCAACAACGCTAGTATCTGGTCGCTATTTGCACCTGTAGAATTTTTTAATCCTGCTTGTCATGATTATTTGATGTTGTCCCGAACAGCATTAAAGAGTCCTTCGTGTGCGACTGGGTAAAACAGATTCTGTATCTCAATCGAGAGAGCTGCTTGCACGTTTGAAAATCCCATCTGCAGTACATGCGCTGTTTCATTCTAGCTCTAAAATAAAAATGGGTCAGCACCAGCCGTCCCACTCGAATTACGCTGTAAAAATTGGCTATCCTGAATTCGAAACGTACCACCTTTAGAAACAATGACTCGTAATGGCCATTCAGGCTTACATGCGTCTTTCCGGTGCAAAAGCAACTGCTGAAATCTTTTCTTCGCCTTCTCCGCAGCTTTTCTAAAACTATCGAGCTGTAATTCCTTGAGCAGTCCGAATGATGTTTTTTCTTTCTTTGTTTCCCTTCTAAATTTACCACAAAAATTGACGTCACATGATTTATACACTAATTCAGTTTTTACACTATATTTGGCTTCAAAATTGATATCCCGTGACCCGATGTCGCGTTACCTTTTCTTTATATATATAAATATAAGAGTCTATGCGACCTACAAGACTGTATATAGACTTCTAAGTAAACTGAAATGACCATTTAAATACTTCATTTAATGCATTATAGCTCTCTAAAGGTAAAAGTCGCTGCCAATTTCTTTCTAAACCTCTACACAAAGCGTGGGTCGCGAGCCAATCACGGCACAGTCGTTGTCTGGTTTCTCAAACAGTAAACAGCGACGTGCCCAGGTGCGTATGGATTTGTTAGTCTTTCAGGTACAGGCTGCATTGCCGTACTTGCGCTGACCCAATTATCAAATCATTTGTTTTGTTTTTAATCTCTTTTTTTTCAGGTGCACGTTTTTATTTTATTTTTTTCAGAATCTATGACGCCTTTGTTGAAAATACCACGCCACCCGCAACTGCACGGAGCGCTCAAGCGGAAGGTCAACAGCTGCTCACTGGGACCACGCTCGTATCAGCGTCAGAGATCCGTAAGACACGGCACTCACACGGTCTCTCTCGACGAAGGGAAGCCATGATCGCACGACTAAAAGAAACCGTTGCTTTGCTCTTGGTTGCCGCGTGCTTAGCCGTGCGTCCATCGTGGTCCGAGGCGCAAGATAATTACGTGAGTCAATTGAGTTATCACCCGTTCGGTGCTTGCAACGATTATGTGGTTTCACTTATCGAGAGTTAGGGTACTAATTATTTGGCAATATTTATTTTTGCGTGTTTTTTTTAGGTCACCTAGACGACGGTAACGTAGACGAAAGAATTCCCTAAGGATGCGTATTCATGTGTGCACGCGACTGTGTTCAATGAAACTCGTATATTGTTTTGGTGTGCACAATACAATGTGCGCGGAGCACAGATCAAGGCTAATTAAGATTTGCTTGTGTTTGAACTAAGGTTGTTTGTTTGTTTTCCAGTTTTAACGAGTGGGCGGTACATCGTTTATTTTTCTGGTAAATGCCATATACATAAAAATTGTAAAAAGTAATGCGGAAACATGGGCATAAATTTAAAAAAAAATTAATGAATTCGACATTGATGGTTAAAACGTAAATGGAATCATTGTTATAAAACAAACCTGAATAATATTTAAAAAAAGACTAGAAAATGTGGCGCTACCAACAAAAAACATTTTAAATCAAATTAAGATGCAATTCAAATGATTCAGTTATTCAATAGCGTTCAGAATGTGGTGAGTTACACAACTTTCGCAAGTTTTGCATAATGTGTGAGCATTTTGAAATGCTGTCTGATATTTATTAAAGGAAATTCCAATTTTAAAACAAAAAACTTCGTTAATTTGTTTGTATGAATAATTCAACTAGCCTTAACGCAAATCTTAACACTTTTGCAAGACGCGTACTAACAACATGGAGTTAGATTACATCGAGCAGAGTGCGTTGTATTTTTATAAGCGGTATGTTTGTTAATTAGGACCGCTTTTATATGCATCCAATGACTATGGTTAGTTCAGGGCTGGGCTTGTTTATGTGAACGATTCAACTCGGATACCAATATAGAACATGTGCGAAGTTTAAATGTAAAGCATTGACGACCACTTCACGTTCATATATTTGAGGACCACTACACGTCCATAGCATTGAACGAAAGGCATCCTGTTTAAGACGTCGATGTCTCAATACTGTCATATAAATTAGCAAGGCTGATCATAATTTTTACTGCTCGCTTGTTCCTGATATTACGAAAATTTAACTCTTCGTTATATTAGACATCATAAAAAATTTCGTGAAAAGACAGCCAAGCACTACACTACTTATACTGCCCGTCCCCCTTCCAATGAAACACAAAACATTACTGTTTTCTACTGAGAAATCATTAATAAAAGACACAGATACTTATACGATTGTCTGCAGTATAATGTACATATCAGAAGGCGAACTATCTTTAGTCACGTGATACTTGCACTTTCCAAGCACGATTACGTCCGGTGGAACACTACAATTCGACTCCTAACGAGAAAGTGTTTATGAAAGTGGAACTATTTTTGATACGCAGTTCTCCAGAGTAGCTGTAGAGTTGCCAATGATTTTCTCTCTAACACAGGATGAATACATAAAACAACTACAAACTGTATCCGGATTAATCAAGGATGAATCTTTGGCCAGTCAATATCTAGAAGATATTTCGGAGCAGCTGAATACGTTAAACAACGCTGGAGCAAACGCCGACTGGGACTATGACAACAATTTGACCGACTACAACCAAAAAAGAACGGTGCGTAACTGCTTACTAAGGACTATGTGTTTCTCGTTTTAGAGAATTTTTTTTTTATTTCGATTGCTTAATCTACGAATTAAAATATCAGAGCAAGTGGGGTGCCAAACGCGTACGTGTGGCCTTGCAGTGCTTTTTTGTTTTTGTTTTACTATTATCACGGAAGCGTCGACCGCCATATCACGGGGTGCTGCCGCGATATCCGCGAGGGTCAGCGCCACATCTTTGGGCACGCGCTCACTTTCGCTGATATAGCCCCGGCTCTCCATAATACGGCACTTACCGCACGCCGCTCGACGCTCCTGGGATATTAATAAAAATAGTGGTCAAGTTTAGGAAAAGCTCATTCAAACAAGGAAACATTAAGAATGTCTTCGTGAATCGGCTTCGGCTTCGGTGGGAAATCTCTTTTGGGGGATTAGGGAAAAGATATGAACGGGGTTTGTCATTGTGGTAATCCGGCAGACAACTTAGAAATCTTGTACGTCGTTTGGTGCATCCTGTGGGGTTGGTTCTGCTATAAAGTGGACACCACCGACCCGTGTGGCAGCATGATGACAACTGAGGTTTATTGCCAGAAAAGGAAGGCTTGAATAAAGAAGAAGAAAAGGCTTGAATAAAGAAGAGGAAAACAAACATGAAAAGAAACACCGACACGTGCGAGCGGTGCTGGCCTTGCTCGCACCATCACGTCGCTGTCAGCAATTACTCTGTTGCTGCATCGTCACTTCCCAACGCTCCTTTCCCCCTATAACAAAACGAACAGGTGGAAACTGATCTCGACGTGATCTTCTTGCTGCTGGTTCGAGTGAATCTCGACTTTCCTGCTCAGAGGTGACGACCGGTTGTGGTTGTTAAGGTGTCGGGAACGCAACGGCAGCATCAGTTGTCACGTCCACCTGGGGTATCCGTGCCTGGACTTCAGAGGTGCTATCGCGGCGACGGACCTGGATTGCATGGTGGCATCGCTGACCCGTTGGCGAACTGATTTGTACCAAACGATGACCACTGGTTGTTTTTACTGTGCCGGGAAGCCACTTGTCCCCGGTACTGTGGTTCTTGAACCACACTGTCTGTCCAGGAATAAAGGGGTTAGTTAGATCATCCTGAGCGCTTGGTAACGTCACGGGTAGTAGAGTGTCAATTCGTGAACGTTTGGTGTAGTCCATTAATCTTTGCGATGGTGTCTTCCCGTCTTTTCCTGGCGTTCTTCGGTAGCTGTGTAAGAACCGTGCTAACCTTGTATGCATGTTGCCCTCTTTCAACTTCTTGATAACCTCTTTCACGGTTCTCACTCCTCGCTTAGCCAAACCATTCGACTGGGGAAAATAAGGAGCCGTGCGCATGTGCTGGATGTTGTTGCGCGAACAGAAGTCCTGAAACTCAGCACTGACAAACTGAGGACCATTATCCGAAACTGCGGTACGGGGCAGTCCGAAACGGGCAAAAATCGCGCGCAAGGCCTGTATGGTAGACTCCGCTGTGGCCGTCTTTAATGGCGCCACCTCAATCCACTTGCTATGCGAGTCTACGATTATGAGCAACATGTAGCCGTCTACTGGACCCGCAAAGTCGATGTGAACCCGAGACCATTTTTCTTTTGTCTCTGGCCAAGGCTTCGGTGTCTAGGAAGGCGGTAGAGACGCTACCTTAGCGCATGTGACACACCTCCGCGCCACTTTTTCAATGTCTTCGTCTAAGCCCGAATACCACAGTAAGGTTCTCGCGACTGCTTTCATTCCCGATGCGCCTACATGGGTGTCATGTAGAAGCTTCAACAATTTCTCACGTGCCCGCTCGTCGATCACTACCCTCTGCGCCGAGTAAACTAACCCGTGGGCCACCGTCAAGTCGTCCCTCCAATTGTAAAACGGCCTCAGATGGTTGCTGATCTTGTTCTTGTCAGTTGGCCAGCCCTTCAGGATAAAACTCAGCACCTGACGAAGAACAAGGTCTACCGTAGTCAACCGCCGGAGTTCTGTGGAGGGAATGAAAGTGTCATCGAAGGCCTCCATGACAAGAACATACTCCTGCAAGTCTTCACAAGATGCTCCTTTTGCTGGTTGTGGCAGTCTACTGAGGGAGCCCGCATTTTGGTTCAACTCTCCCTTCCGGTACTCTATCTGATACGAGTAGGCACTTAGCAGCAACGCCCAGCGTTGTATTCTTGCGGCCGCCGCGTGAGAGACAGCTCGAGTTTGGTGGAAAATGCCCACCAGGTGGTTTGTGGTTTGCCACCAAAGTAAATGCACGCCCCCACAAGTACTCTCTGAACTTTGTGACTCCGAATACGAGAGCCAATCCCTCTTTTTCCAGGTGTCAGGCTCTCTGCCTTTTACAAGGTACGTGAGCGAAATCCTACCGGTCGATAATCATTACCATTCTTGATTGATAGCACTGCGCCGATGCCATACGGGGATGCGTCACACTCTAACCGAAGGGGCTTCGCCGGGTCGAAATGTGCTAGAATCTGGGACTGTTTCAACTGGCGTTTACTTCGTTCAAAAAGCTTCTCCTGCGTCTTTCGACCAATGCCATTTATGCCCCTTGTTAAGCACTTCGTACAGAGGGCGCAACCGGGTTGCCATGTTTGGTAGGAACTTGCTATAGTACGTAATCAAGCCGAGGTAGGGGCGATGTTCTGACACGTCCGATGGTCGCGGTGCCTTCAGGATTGCGTCTAAGTTGTCGTCTTTTGCGTGGAGGCCACGTGCGTCTATTCTATGGCCGAGGTAGTTGACTTCTGATTGGCAAAACTTGCTCTTGCCTTTGTTCACCTTGACACCATTCTCCCGCAATTGCTGAAGGGCCACTGGAAGCGTGGAATAACCCTTCTTCTCTGCAAGCAGAATGTCGTCGAGGTACACTTGTACCCCCGGCAGATCCTTCAGTAGTAACTCGATCCTCCGCTAGAAAATAGCTGGCGCCGATGCGATTCCGAACAGCAGCCTATTGTTGGAAAATACGCCCTTGTGAGTGTTAATGACACACATTTGACGGGAGTCTTCATCCAGGCAAACTTGGTTGTAGGCGTTGCTCAAGTCAAGGGTACTGAACACTTCCCCACCGTTAAGAGTCGCGAAAATGTCCTCGATTACAGGAAGTGGGTATTTCTTCGTGTGACAGGCGATGTTTAGTATAAGCTTGAAATCACCACAAATTCGAATGTTCCCGTTCTTTTTTACCACTGGGACAATTAGAGTAGCCCACTCTGCGTGTGTTACAGCAGACAACACTCCTTCAGTCACTAAGCGATCAAGCTCTTCTGTCACCTTTGTTCTCAATGCGTATGGAACGGGTCTTGCTTTCAAAAACCTAGGAACGGCGTCAGGGCGTAAAAGCAACTTGACCGGAGGTCCCTCCAGTAACCCCAGACCTGGCTTGAAGAGATCATAGTATTTAGCCAGGATAGCTGGTAGGTCGTTTTGCCTCATTGACACTGGTGTCGATTCCCCCGGCGACGTTCCGTCTCCAAGGTGAAGCGCAGGGACACCGCAAGTTCCCACGTCACGGATTAAGTCCCGAGCGTACAACGACGGCCCAGCGCAACCCAACACGATCAGTTTACCGCCGACCGTCGTCCCTTCGTAGGGGACTTTGAAGTTCTACTCGCCAAGGACAGGTAATCTCCCCAGAAAACATGTCAGCCGAACTGTAGTTTTCTTGAGCTTCGGCCATGATTTCTTGAACATTTCGTAAATGTCCTGTGATACGACGCTGACCGGTGAACCGGTGTCGACTTGCATGACGAGCGGTACGCCTCCCCAGACGAACTTCTGGTGTATGGGTTTCACAAACCCAACGATGTTGCAAACCGTGAATCTTCAGTCTAAGGTCAGTAGCAGGCTTTCATTGGTCTCTGATGAACTCATCAGTTCTTCCAAGGCGTCGGACGTGTTGCCGTTGCGCGCCTTGTCGCAGGTCCTCCTCGGTTCTTGAGTTTTTCGGTCAGGGCACTGTCGTGCCAAGTGACCATGTTTCCCGCAGCAGAAGCACTTGGCCGATCTGAATTTGCACGAGTCCGCTGTGTCTGACCCTGCTCCACAACTTCGACAAGAATCCGGAGGACTTGCGTTCCGTCGACGTGGAAAACCCTTGTTGGATCTCTTAACGTGATGTTTATCAGGAATGACTGCCTTGATTTCAGTCTCCGAAGTCCGTGGTAACTTCATGGCTGTGACGTTACTGGCGGCCGTTCCAGCAGCCAATACGATGGCTTCTGCTTCCTTCAGAGTCACTTCGCGGCAAGCTAACAATAGCTTGCGCACGTCTTCATTTCGTATTCTGCAAACTAGCCGGTCGTGTAGCATCCGATCCAGCATCGTGCCGAAATTACATTTCTTCGCTTGTCGTCGAAGTTCCACGAGAAATGTCTGCACGGTTTCATCATCGCTTAGGTGCCTGTTGAAGAATTTGAAGCTTTCGGCGATTTCATTGGATGTCGGTGAGAAATTGTCGCCCAAAGCCTTGACTACTTCTTTGTACGATACGTCGTTAGCCATGTTCGGTGCGCACGATGCTCCCAACACTTCAATTGTCCTCGTACTTAGAGCCGAGACAAGTAGCGAACGCTTCTTCCCAGGGTCGGTCACGGCTTACCTGAGTCTTTTTGGGCTCGTCTTCTGAGAGGAGAGTTAATCGTACTGGTTGGCGCGTTTTTAAAAAAGTTCGCATTACCAAAATATATGCTGAAGTTTCGGAAGCTTGACGGGGTTCTTACATCTTTAACATCGTGGGTCCGTTAAACCAGTACAAAAATCGGATCGGATTGCTCCTTCATTGCGGTCCCTTCTGCCTAAAACTCTCTGATACCTTCTGAATGTCTTCACGGGAATCGGGTATTGTCCCGAGGTCCCGTTGTTCAGGATCTATATTCGAGCACGGGTGCAACTCTTTCGTGTTTCATCCTTGGGGTCGCCAGTTCCTTCGGCGGGTTCTGTCTCCGGTTCTATGTTTCTTACTGTTTTAGCCAGGCTGAAGGATGGGAATTCTGCTTTTTA